CCTTTTTTTGACATTCCCAGTACCGTTTAGCAAAAATGAACCCCATCGCTATGGTCCTCGCATGGACCCCTACAACATGCAACAAACCGTTTTGAAAAAGCTCACCACGGCCTGAACGACCTCCCTTGTAAGATCTACACTTAACTCCTTTTGAACATTCCGCATCTGGACACAAATATTGCGGGTTTCGCACAATCAGGCGCGCGCGGTCGCGTCGCGGCAGGGTTACATCAAAGAGCCACTTCAGCAGTTTGCAAAGAGGACGGCGCAGTTTGGCTTGGGTGGGCATCAAAAGATCCTATACAGGTCATCTCGTGAAGACCTGTAAGTTCTTCTAACCAAGGTGATTCACTTGTACCATTTCGCGGCTACATAAGGGTCTACAGGTTTCTCTAAAATGAGACCTGTTAGTTGACATGAGCTAGCAAAAGTGCAAATGCCCCTTCTCTCCCCTCCCCTCCGCGAATCGAACAGCGCCGAAAGGATTGCAGACATACACATCAGGCAGATATTGAGCTTGTGCCTAGTTCTTAGCTATGACCTACTGTCGCTCTAAGGGTGGAGTTTGTGGAGACTTGTCTTGCACTGGGGCGCTTACCTCTTTCATTTACTCCTCGTACGAGTTCTATGGGCTCTATTCGATTTATCGCTCCACTTTCAGTGCTAGTCATGCTGATGTTGGTGTATGCTCGTCGTCAAACGACGCCGTTCGAATCGGTTCGACCAGAAGATCTGAATCGTGATAATCTCCGACCGTATGCCATCGAAGGTGGAGGCGAAGCAGACAACGATCAGGTAACTACTGGACGTTTTTTTCTATGTGAACAATCAAGAATTCTTTGACTGATTTGAGATCCATTAACCTTTCTCGGATGAGGGTTTTTCTATTTCAGTACTCGATAGCGAACTTGCGGAAACCAGTAATGCCCATAGAAGGTAATGGAATAATGGGTCCACCGGCGCCGATGTACGCTCGACCGCCGATCGGTAAGTTGTGCGCTTCAGTTTCTTATCAGGATCGTTCATCGGTTGTATTTCAGTCATTTCTTAAGTGCATCTGTTTTAGATGACAGGTTGCGATCTCAACTACATGATCTGGAATCAGATCAAAATGCGGCTCCGTTCGATGAAATTCGAATTTACGAAGATGAAAAGGACACGGTATCGGTGGTGACGTTAGAATCGCTCGGCTCAATACCGGAGACAGAGCGACAACCTGTAAGTCATTGGAATCATTGCACAGAACTACGCAGTGCCAAGAAATAGCCATCAGATATTAAGGGACTAAAGCTTTTTTCCTCAGCTTGGGGTATATTCACAAAATGCGCAGTGTACTGGTTACCTTCACCACCTGTTCCGTAGGTGGTTCGAGTCGTGATAAAGTCTTCCTTATGGTTAGTGCGAGCTCCCGAGCTCGATACTTACTAGGGGGGAGAGAGGGTTGGTCGCATTTGGTAGGTAATTTTTTAATCACCATGGTCCCTGACCATCTAAAGAACTTCTCAGGAGCAAAAGCCCAACGAGAAGGGCGCATTTGTGCAAGTGACCCCGCCCACACGACCACTGACCCCGCCCAGACGGTGGGAGGCAGAATTGAATTACTGAGGTTACTATTTGCTTGGCAAGATAGTTCCGGAGGGTAATGTGACAGCTCGTAATAAGCCGCG